TAATCGGCAACCCACCGAAAGACATTCTGAGACTATATAAGCAAATTAGCAAATAAGAAGAAAAAGTTCGTGACATGAGGTAATAAAAAACTGAAAAGAAATTATCTTCCACATTGTTGTAAGTCATTTAGATATCTCAATATTGTTATACTTTTGATACCAAAGAAGCATCGGTTTTTGAAATTCCAGGAACAATTATGTTCTTCACATTACCGTCCCAGAAACACAATAAAAACATTCAATTCTTCAGTGATCAGCGGAAGATTTCAATCGTAACACAATCAGTGATTTGTCCCCTCTATGGGCTTTGTGAACTTTCGTATTTGATCAAGTGGAAAGAAAGCGACGCTTGAGGACACGCATGCGTTTTGATCGTGGTGCAACCACTAGAAATGCAAATGATCTGCACGAGATGAATTACTAAGTGACTAATTTCTGTCTTCATCGCTGCTGAAGTTCAAGGAGCACCTAGTCCCTACCGTAACCCAGTGAACCCAGTTTTTCTGACAAGCGTTGTGCTCTGTCACAATATCCGGTTCTTACATAATAAAATTATATAATTGCACAAAGAGCGTGAAACCAATTGCATTTGATAAGCACCACAATGATAATTTTTCAAATACTGATTTTTAAATTGAGGTTAATGATCACCCCAACAGACTTAACCCTGACTTCGTGTGGGCACTACACTTCAGGAGCACGCAGTGGTGAATGCTCTCCTGAGAATTCTTCTCGACCTCCAAACGGTTTCGAGAAGTTTCACTTCGTGAAATGGCACTTGAAAACAGTACAGTAATTCATAGCTGCTTACTCCTTTGATGAACATGAGAGTCATTTTTGCTTTTTACCCTGCGACGTCAAATCTCACTCGGGTACTGTAATGGCGGTGTCGCGTCTCGTGTGAAAGCGACGGCGCGACGCCAGCCTATCAACGCTAGTCCTCAAAAGGTAAAAATCTTTCAATCTTTTCCCGCATCCGTAGCAATGCTTCTTAGCATGACTCTGCTTGTCGTACAATAACCATTAAGTCTCATATTGGGCCGTGATGGAATTGAAAAATGGTGACGATAGCGTATATATAACATAAGCTCATCTTAAGGCTTGAGGAACCAATGTGGTGCACCGTCGTCAGTAAAGATAAATAGTATTTGGAAGAGCATTTTGTTTTTTGTGAGATGATGTTGGTGACTGCGAACACACAATGGTCCAGAAATTTTGACTCTTTTTGGAATCACGAGCTTACAACTGTAATTCTAAAAAATCCGACTTTTCTTGAGATTGAAATTCAATACAACGACGGCTGTGTTGTCGCCAGACAAAGTCGATTAGGTGTGAGTTGACTTTTCTGTAATTCAGTAATAGTAATGCATATAGAACACATGATTTTATCACTTTGTTCAGCACGTCGTGAAGGATATTCTGTACCTAGAAATTTAATCAGCTGGCTTATTCCTATCATGGATTCTGCTCTAGAACTAAACTCATTCTGGTGCAAAAATAATTCGGTTTTACTCCTCATTGATCTACCGCATCTCTTAGTATTTAGTAATAAGCGCAATTATAAGTCTTATTGCGGTCATAACAATTTGACACTAACACTTAATTTGCAATGATTTTATGTCAATTGCGTGGCCTCAGAACAAGGGATCTCCATCGTTTTGCTTCATATCTTCAAACGTGAGCATAGAAATACAGTAACATCTTAATCTTCATAACGAAAAAAAGCCATGGCTGTCTCAGCGAATGACAACGACCGTCCCAAGCCTATACATAAGCTACATCTATATAAGCTAGTGTACTGGCTGTACGAAAGCTAAATTTCAAAGGTCCTTCAATCTCTAGCGCTTCCAAGATATTGTTAATGTGGAAAAATCGGATAACAGTGTCATGATGTTATGCATATCCGAAATCTCTAAGTAGTGAAGTCAATGTTCTAACCATACCAGAGTGCGCGCTAACACTCCAAGGCCCTTGCTCTGCTATCATTATTCCTGCACTCTTGGTTATATAAAAACTTTATATATATATATTTATATTTATATATACTGTTATATAATGTTTGTATGTAGCCATTAACCTCTAACCTGAGCACCACCCCCCAACCCTCTCCGCCAGTCAACAACAATGCTTGGAACATCTTGTGGAACATCACAGTAAAGCTCCAGACTGCAAGGAGATTCGCTCAACTAATATTCTGCGCCTCCCCGTAACTCTCTCCGGTAGTCAACAACAACTCCTTGGGACGCTCAAGCCAGGATATCGTCGAGAGTGCAAGGAAAATCACGCGACCAGTATTTTACGACGTTCAAAAAGAAGACGAAAAACGAGTTGAATGCTAGAAGCACTGGGATCCCTACGGTGAAAAAAGTACTATGATGACAAGTTTAATGAAATAAAAAAAAATATATATATATTTATTTATTTATTTATTTATATATTTCCCTCAACCTCGGCATAACCAGTTAACCATATTTTCTTTGTTGTTTAAGCCTGTAACAGGAGGTGTTTATAAGTTTTTATTCGTCTGACGTTTCGACGTGTTTCGCCTTTTTTATTGCTTTGCTATTTAGCTAATTAGCCGTTTACATGATAGCATTTTTTGACTTTTACTTCTTCTTCCTCTTTGACGCTTGCAGGACAGATCCGGAGAAAAGAGGTATGTAATTACCGTCAATGGGTACCTAGCTAATTAGCAAAACAAGTAGCCAATTAGCATACTGTTCATTCTGTATATGAAGAGAATTTCTGAGTAAGTCTCTTCATTCGTCGAGCTCCACTGAAGAACGTTCAACTCGAGCGAGGCGAAGGCGAAGATTTACAACTAAGACGAACGACAGTGGATGATCGACTCGAAATGTTGGCTCCAACGATACGAAACGCGTTGAAACGTTAGCCAAGTAAAGGCTTAACCAACTACAGATATATACGCATATATATATATATATATATATATATATATATATAAGCATATAATCCGTCACTCTTCCATACATTAAAGGTTTTTGAAACGGCACAATTTCGAAAAAAAATTAGTGAAGAGGACTGTAATCAAATGCAATAACAAATATGTGGTAAATCTACTGTAATCAAATGGTATAACAAAAATGTAGTAAATCTACTTGAAATCAGTCAAAGAGGAAGTCCACTTCTTGTGAACGACAACGCTGTATTCACATTGTACAAGTCGTTCTCGGTGAGCACTTGAGGCGTTTATTGCAGCGCCTTCAGATTGAATCGGCTTAGTTTCTAACTCGTCTACAATGGAGATCACAAGCTGGGTATATTGTGTGGTCTAGAAGTTTGGAAACTCATACGCAGTGAAATCGCTATGGAGCTGATTGCTCCATTGTATCGTTTCCTGTTTCCATGATCCCCGTCTATTAACAAATACAGCGAAGAGTACATCCTGTTTCTCCAATTCAAAGGAAATTCACTAGTCTTCTACCCAAGCGAACACCAGTCGACTGAGTCGCAGTGAAGTAATCATTTGGCAGCCAAGATCGTGAAGACGACTGTATTAAGAGCATTTATTAACACTGCTCAATAGAGAGTTATAATCTGTAAAAGTATGGCATGCAAAATTCCTTCGTTTGCAACAAAAAAAAAAGAGATTACCGATAAAAAGTGCTTCCACAGAATCATGTCGGAAGAGAGCTTCTGAGAATTTTCTGGGTTTTTTCATCAGGACTACTGACTATGGACTTCAATCTGAAGTAAACGGATTATTTCTCTGATTGTATTATGATGCTATAAAACTCGTTCAATGGATTTCCTCAAATTAATAATGTACGAAATTCTAGTGTTATCAGCCTATTCTCATACTCACTACATTAACAATGGAAAGAAACATTCGAAGCCAAAATACCTGAGTGAATTGTGATCGTCGAACGTAGTGAATACCATTAGTGTTATCCATCAAAATTCTTGGCCGAACAAATTTCCAGCTGCGCTAAGTGCCAAAGGTCCCCGCTGACCTCAGAGCACAAGAGTTATGGCCGCTAGCAGTGTATCTTTCAAACTCCCAAATCTAGCTTTAGAACTTAATGAAATGTTCATTTCATTTGCACGCTGCCGCCAACAGCTCAAGAAACGATCAATCATATCTAACAGTCTCAATGGTAACATCGGAAATTTTGCAATAAAACTAGATTGCTAGATTTTTTTTATTCTGTAACTTCCGTAACCGCATCTTAGGCAATCATTAAGCGTTGGTTTTCAACAAAGCTTGCAAATTCTTCAATCACTGGAGCTTAGAACTTTTAGTTACTGGTGAAAATAACTCTACTGCATCTACATATTACTTTTGTCTCACAAAAATGATATTCTATCGATTGCAAGCTCGTTCAAAATAAAAAGCCCTAAAAAAGTCGAAAATCAAAACCATTTTTTAGACTTTTGACACAAGCAAGGCTGCCTCAAGCATAGTAATTTTTCGAACTTTTTCTTATATGACTCGTAATCACAATTTGTTGAGGGTATCCCAGCATTTTTTGCACACGATTCCTTTTTTCACGTACTTTATTCTCCACATAGGTTTTCAAATTTTTTGAGCGTTGTTTTGGTTCCTGCCTAAAGATTTTATCTTGCTAGAAATGACGTAAAGTGCTGGTCGCGTTGATGTTCGTCTTGCAAATAACTGAGTTAAGACTTTCCCACGTGAATTGCAAAAGACTAAATCAATGTTTTTTTTTGATGAACAAGAGCCAGATTGTTACTAGAAAAATTAAGTAATATAGTTCAGTATAGAATACCATTCAACAAAGTAAAACAGTTTCTAACGTTTCGGCAGTACCGCATTCTTCACAGGCTGGAATGGTTTAGTTGATTCGCAATCTACTCAGTCAAATATTTTCATTAGCAAACAATTCTATTTAACCGTTTTTAGCAGTGGTGTGTTATTATAAATATTTATACATATATATAGTATATCTATATACGATAATCTTGAATGATATAAAAACTTGCACCTCAGAAGGTAATCGAGTGACAGAACAACACCAGCTTCAGTGGTGCAATAGGTTAGCACGCACCCTGTAAAGTGTGAGATACAGGTTCGAGCCCTGCCCGAAGTTTGAAGTTTTCCATATGACTCAGCATTATCAAATATTATAGCTTCGTATCACTGTAAATGCAGTTCAACAAAAAAAGAATCGTCTTTTTTCTGTTATTGGAAGGGTTTTCTGAGAATCCTTTTTCGCTGAACAATAATTTCCACTGGACTGTTAATAATCACTTGAGAGCTGAAGTTTCGGAGAATCCAAAAGTAGTCTTGCTTTTTTGGAAAAAGCCTTCCTATAGAATTGTAGCACCAAAAATCAAATTGTGTTTCACATGCGCTGCACGTTATTGAGCGTATTTTCACAGGACTGAGCTCTTCTTATAGGCTACTAGTAATCGTGCGACAGCGTAAATCTTATTTCATAAGTATTTATTTTTCGGTAAGATCTTTTTACAGCATTTGAACGTATAAGGGAGTGCTCGGAGTATCGGAATCATATGTTTTATCTAGAGTTTATTTCAGGCACGAAAAAATCGTAAATTCGGTTTTGAAAAATTCGTGCTCCACATGTGATTTGCAGAGCGATTGACCGCGCGATCGGTACACAGCCACTCACGAGCCCTATCCGATAGGCCATGCGCGGCGTATGTAAAACTCAATCTCATCTTCCATGCCGCAGCCAGTAAATGAATGATTTTAAAAAGAAAGAAAAGTGTTGGAATTGCTGATTTACGCTATCGAATGATTACTAACACTCTGAAGAAATAACTCTGTCCTGTGGAAAATGAATCGTGCGTGAAACACAATTTTATTTTCCATGTTATAGCGCAATTAAAAAAATTTTCTCAAAAAGCAAGCACAGTGTTGAAATTGCTAAGATTTACGCCATCAAGTGATTACTAACGATGAAGCTGAAAAGCCTTGCCTAGAGAAAAAGAAAACGTAAAATGAGAAGGTCGCGCGTGACATCCCGTTTTTTGCAAAACTACAGCGCTGCAAGAAGGTTTTTTTTTCAGGATACAAGGAGGTGTTTCAAGTCTGCGTGATTTCAACTATCGAATGGTTACTAAAAGTCTAATATAACAACTTTCTTGAGCAAAAAAGGAAAAACCTCCTGAAAAATCTCTCACCAGTTTTCAAAAATACCAAGAATTCTTGTCGATTTTATATATAATTAATATATATACATATATATATACATATATACATGTATATATGTACATATATATGTACATATATATATATATATATATATCCACTCCCTGCCAGCGTAATTAGGTTACATACAGGTATATGTTGCTAGGCCAGAGCGTTGACGATGGTTGCTGATAGATCGATACCTTGCATCGCAAAAAAGAGTGATAGCAGAAGACGAACCGCGGTAGCGCAGCTAGTTAGCACGCGTCCTCTGGAAAGGTGAGCTGCAGGTTCGATTATCGTTGAGGTTGAAGGTTTTGCGAATCACTCAACATTATGGGAAAAACGTGATGAGTAAATTTTTGTTTGCATAACAAGCAGTCCTTTTGAAGCGCTCACCGTTTTAGTTATTTTCAATTTTTCCAAGTATTATGGCAAACAAGCCGTGTAGAGTCTTGTATGAAGTGGGAATGTGCCTGGCTTAGGTCAAAAAAAGTGAGGTATGGTACGAGGTCGAGCGTTACCACGAGACACTCCTCATTGAGGCTCTCCGCTGGATTTTGAAACAGCTTTAGGTTAAGAAGTTCAAATAACACCTTGTAGAGAGGAAAGGCACACGCTCCGCTGAACCTAGAAAATGAAAGTTTTATTGCGCCAGAAAAAGGAAAGTGTATCTTGTTTTTAGAGATGTAAATTCTGGTTATATGTATGGTCAAACAGAATGTCTTCTATTTAACCGTCTTTAGCCGCAATATGATGTTATGAATATACTTGATGATCTTGAGTGGCGTACAAAACTTTGGCGTCAGTTGGGACTCAAACCCACTTTCCACCCTTTCAGGGAGCTCGTGTTTGACTAATTCTACGACCGACGCCTGTTTTGCCACCACTATTTCTACGCTACGACGCTCAGTCTGTCAGCAACCAATCACTAACGGTTTGGCCTGGTGATCTATACCGACATTGAACCCAGTCTCGCTGATCCCGGAAAGGGTGAAGTGCGGGTTCGACCACCATATAACGTCAAAGTTTTGCACACCACTCAAGATCATTGGTTATATTCTGCTGGTTGTTGACACAGCTGCTGAGATATGTGAAAGCATCTATCATTTTGAAACTATATATAGGACTATGCCACTCCTAAGGAATTAAGGAGAAAGGTTCTAGCGTTGATAAAGTCCCTAGGGAAGCGCTATGCATTCGAATTCATTGAGCATTGCTAAAAGTGATTGCATATCTGTCTCAAGCAACGATTTGATGGTCCACTGGTGATTCATCTCAGTGCTCCCTCTATCCCAACTAAGAGCAAATTGACACCACTTTTTCGACCCGGAAGGATGGAAAGCTTGGTGAGTCAAGAATCCAGGATCGCAGGATCGACTCAAGAATCCTGCTTCTTTCGTTTCAGTGTTTTTCTTGAGATCAAGCCCAGATTTCAATATGCCTGATAGTAATTTTTAAGCCATGCGTGTGATCTGTTTTGGGCACTTATATGGTGCCATACACATGTTTCGGCCTAGCAGCCTCGTCAGTCACACGGTGCCTTTCCTCTGAGCCACTTGGGGCAGAACTCAAAAATAACTTCAAAGGAAAGATATGGTATTTCACAATTACCAGAAAGCAATCGAGTGTACAACACTGAACGTTTGGCGATTTTTATCACTTGACGGCACGCGTAAATATTACGTATGCGGTTCTTCTATGTAAGGGGGTTCTCTCCTAAGAAAGATTGACTTAGACGAAAGGCACCGAGAAGCTGACGAAGCTGCAAGATGGAACGACATGTATTACACTGTATGAGTGCCCGTAATAGACCACCTGCATGGCTCGAAAATAACTAAAAGACCATGTTTTCTGTTGCAGGGTACCTCTAGCCACTGCAACACTGCGCACCTTTACAGCTTATACAATTGCAAACATGTTTAGCTCAGATCCCTCTTGATCAATAAACTCAAAAAAACTGCATAAATTGTATCCTTCCACTCTCCGATGGCACGAAAGTTCAAATCTAATTTCAAATTCTATGATCAGTGGCGATCTTTCGGACCATCAGCTTATTGAAGGCTTCTTACAAATCCCTTCGTGACCTCTTTCAATCTCATTTGCAGAGCTCCCTCATCATATTGTCATTCATATCAAAGGAAAAGCCAAAGATTCTAATGTGCTTGAATAAGACTTCTCAAAATGATGATGCTGTCGGATGGTTGAAAAAAACTATGTACTCACTGTGCAACTACGTTAGCAATCGAAATGAGTTTTAGTACAAGAAAGGATCTCTTTGAGAGTCGAGTATAACATTTCTTCCAAAGTTATTGAGACCTTGGAGGCGATCAAAAATATAGTTTCAAAAAATAGATATTACACAGATGTACTTATTAACCGATGGATCTCCATTCCATTCTCAACATGCGCGAAAAGATATTATTCGTGGAGAATCTGCATAGCACAATCAACAGGCACGTCAGGAACGATCATGACCACGACATTCCCCACCAGATTGTTTGTCCTTCATACTCTCGGTTTTCATTTCAAGATCGGGAAAGAATTCAAAATTCAAAATTTTTTCAGTTGGCATTTCCGACTAACAGATTGAGAAAAAAAATGATACAAAAGAAAGTTTGAGAGCCGACGTTCATTTCATCTCATCATAAACGATCGACAATATTTTAATCTATTCGTGAGCATAAATAAAAGGATACACCTCCCAGATTTGATCAAGCTGCCATGGATGCACCATACAAACGTATTCATCTAGCATCGTCTGAGGTGACTGAATGCGTAATTTGCCTTTCTATTAACCCGCAGATGACCACACGATACAACATGTCAGTGCTGCTATCATACCAGACAGGTCTGGCACCAATTTACTGACCCTGGAGGCATGGAGGGCTAAATGTGCCATGAACACGGGATTGAACCATCGACGATCGGTTGATCGATCAAATGTCGCATAGTACTTCTACCACTGTACCACACGCGCTCTTTTTCATAAGCATACATGAGGATTCTCGTTTCATATTAAACTCTGCACTATTATGTATTCACGCAACTTCGTAGAAGTCCGTAAGCTGATTAGAATCATGCAGCGATTTTTGCTCAACACATCCATTCAACGTAAATAATTGGTATGAAAGAAATTAGATTATTTGATTGAAACTAGAGCTTTTAGCAAAATAGAGATGATTCTTGATGGTGGACAATTTACCTTTTGTTCTCTCTACACCCAGTAACACCCCAGTGAATCAAAGACATAGTTGTAAACGCTCAAGAAAACAAGTGGATATACATCTACATTTCCCGTAAACACTATGCAGTCCATACAGGATTGGACGCCGTTTGAGTTCCGCGCTTTAAAAGTTGATTTTTTCTGGCCTGTAACTTCCTCTCTCCCTTCTTTCCTTTCTGAAATTCATCAATAAAATGACTGTCTAAGAAACGCATTGGGTGCCATATTTCTCGGGTATCTCATGGGAGATGTAAGCTAGTTTCAGATGATAGCGTGTGCAGAAAATTCGTGCTGTTTTGATTTTTTTCATGATTTTTGCGATACTTTGTTCCGAACATAAGACAGAATTAATTCTCAACGTATTCCCCACAGAGCTTGATAGTTTCCTGCCACTTTTCTGGTAAGAGACCGACGCCTCGACTGCAGACTGCCGTCCTTTCTACAACCGTACCGTCATCTCAAGCTCCATTAATCTTGCACACCGCTCCACTAGCAATTTCCCCTATACGCCATTTAGCAAGCAAACTTGTTTCCAAGACAGCTCCATCTTGAGGCAAGTACACTTAACTTGTATACGAAAATGTTCGCGAGAAAATGCGCAATTTAACAATAATGATATCATGCCATTTCATTGCAAAGTTGTATCAAAAGACCACAACGGCACAAATTCTCTACACAAACTATTAAATCTCGCTCTATAATGTGACGGT